GCATGACTGCGGCGAGGGCGGGCGGCCTGGCAGGCCAGTGTTTCCACCAATTGCGGATGTCCGCGTTGGCGGCGTCGCACTCCTCGATGTGGACGTGGAAGTCGGGGGAGAGGACGCCGAAGTGCTCGCGGCTCGTGGTCGAGATCCCCACCACCTGCGCTTGTGCAGCAGGCGGGGCGGCGGCTCATCATACTCGACCCAAGTATCATCGCCGACGGCAAACATGAGAAGCGCCCGAGCCCTCCGACGCGCAGCGGCCGCCCGTCCTGGCTGTCAAGCCGCACTGGCCGCGCCTCGACTTCCAGCGCCAGGTGGCCTGCGCGGCGGCCGCAGGCGAGCACCGCGGCCTGGGCGCTGAGCCCCAGCGCCCAGCGGGCGAGCTCGAAGGGCAGCAGCAGCAGCATCAGGTCCTCTCAGCACAGGGAGGGACGCCGCTCGCTCTCAGCCTCGCAGGTCGGGCAAGCGGGGCAGGGCGAGGGGCAGGTGCGAGAGCCTTCCCTCGCGTCCAGCACGGCCGCCAGGCAATCAGCCAGCAGCACCTGGATCCTGGCCGCATCGCCCAGGTCCGGGAAGGGGCCCGCCTCGAAGGGCGGAGGCGGCCCTGCCGCCTGCGGAGGCGGCGCCGCCGCCTCGGGGGCCACTGGCGCGGCGGGCTGCAGCCACCAGCGCGCCCGGAGCAGGGTGCAGAAATTGCTCGCTAGCGGGAGACTGAGACCGGCGTTTGCGAAACGCGTCGACCAGACGAGGGCCCCCCTCCAGGAAAAGAAACTTGAGCAGGCGCGGTTGCGGAGCAGACGCGACGGCATTGAGTGACTAGGAAATTAGATGTGCACACACCATCATGATCATGATCATGATCATGATCATGATCATGATCATGATCATGATCATGATCATCAGCATCAGCAGCATCATCATCATCATCATCATCATCATCATCATCATCATCATCATCATCATCATCATCATAATCAGTATCATTAGCATCATCATTATCATTATCACCATCATCATCATCATCACAATTATCATCATCATCGTCGTCATTGTCGTCGACATGATCATCATCAGCATCATCATCACAATCAGCATCGTAATCATCATCGCCATCAACATCGTCATCGCCATCATCATCATCGTCATCATCATCATCATCATCATCCTCATCATCATCATCATCATCATCATCATCATCATCATCCATACCAGCACCAGCATCATCATCAGCATCACCATCGCGTCGTCATCATTATCATCAGCATGAGCATCTTCCTCTTCCCCATCATCCTCATCGTAATCGTCATCATGAGCATCATGATCATCATGATCATGATCATGATGATGATGATGATGATGATGATGATGATGATGATGATCACCATCATCATCAGCAAGACCATCATTATCATCATCATCATCATCATCATCATCATCATCATCATCATCATCATCATCATCATCATCATCAACAGCATCATCATCATCATCGTCGTCGTCATCATCAGCATCATCATCACAATCAGCATTATTATTCTTCATCATCGTCATCGTCATCAACATCGTCATCGCCATCATCATCATCCTCATCATCATGGTCATCATCAGCATCATCATCGTCATCATCAGCGACAGCATCCGCATCACCATCAGCATCAGCATCAGCATCACCATGGTGTCGTCATCAAGATCAGCATCAACATCGTCCTCATCCACATCATCCTCATCGGCGTCGTCATCATCAGCATGATGATCATCACGATCCTGATGGTGATGATGATGGTGACACTATCATCATCAGCAAGATCATCATCATCATCATCATCATCATCATCGTCGTCGTCGTCGTCGTCGTTGTAATATTCAGAATCATGACCGTCGTCATGATGATCCTTATCACCGTTATCATCAGGGTCGTGGCCACCATCCTCACCGTCCTCACCATCAGCACTGCTATAATCATCGTCAATCGTATCATGAACATCAATATCAAGATATTAATCTTCATCAGCAATATCATCATCGTCATTGCTAGCATGATGATGGTCATCATCGCAAGCATGAAGCATCCGTGACACTAGCAAGCCGACGACCTACCATGGCTGTTCAGAGCTTGTCGAAACCACCCGGTAATTTTCAGGCCAAGCCTGAGTTCACAGGCGCCGAGATGTGACTCTCGGGCTCTGATGTGTCGTCTCGTTTCCATCGAACCTGCCGCACTACTTCGGTATTTTGCGTCTGTCTGCCTGCCTGTCTGTCGGTCCGTCCGTCTATCTGTCATCATCATCGCCAGCTGCCGATGTGCCCAGCAGTAAGGCACCATCACCAACCATCAATCACCAACCATCGTCACCACCAACCACCGTCAATCATCCATCACCAACCATCAGCACACAATCTACACCAGTCACCAATCCTCTGTACCATCAGGATCACCACCAACCACTAATCACCAACCGCCAATCACTATCAGCCACCGACCATCAAGGTCACCATCAAGCACTGAATCTCGTTCGTCTCCGCGGGCATCGGCATCACCAGAATCACCTTCGTGACCATCGTCATGACCTGATTGACCACCCCCACCACCACCTGACACCGAGCCCGCCCCTGGGCCCAAGATCGGCGGATCCAGACCTCCGGCGGCTTGACCTGTTCGATCCTCGCGTTTTCCCTTAGATCTCCGCTCCAGGCAGGGGGGGGGCCGTCTTCTGGCTCCGAGGGCTATCAAAAGCGGGACTTGGACGACAAGTTACTGTCTCCAGGGGGAAGTCGAGACCTTCGGGGCCCACCGAGTCAGACATGCAATCCGTCGGAGGTCTGGGGATACGCCACCCTGACTGGCCTGGCAAGAACTCCTCTCCCCCGCTACACTTTTATCGTGACACGGGCCCAATGAGTTGTCGACTCCTTCCCAGGGCCGGTCTGATTTATCCTGGGTAGGTTTTTCCTACCGCCCTGACGGCAACCACGGGCCTCTCAGCAGGCTCAAATCGAGGAGACACCGCCCGCTGCACTTTGTGGCGCCAGACTTGAGGCAAGGGGTATCCACCGATCCTGGGGCCCCAGGTGGCCCTGGCCAGACACGGAGGTGGTGTGCAGACACCCTCTGCAGGAGACAGAGCCCGCGCTCTATATATCGACGCTGGGGGTCCATCCTGGCCAGCTTCCCGTCCCGAACCCATTTCCGACGGCCCCTGAGCTCGGAACGGGCCTCCGGAGGCTGACAGCAGCGAAACGCCTCGTCGAACTCTCCTCTCGCCCCCCTGTGGGCACACATGCGCGCGTGCCGAAATTCTCGACGACGGCGCTGCTCCGGCCACAGCGAGGAACGCAAGGGTTTGGGCCCCCCCCCTGTGGCCCCACATCTGGCCCGAATCGGCGCGTTTCCCAAAAAACGCCGACCATGGCACCCCCGACAGGGTGGAGATCGACCGACATTTCAGCCAGCGCCCACATAGAGGTGCCCTTCTGCGGATCCTGTGCCCACGATGCGCCTGGCCACGACGCGGCGTAGGCCCACCGGCTGTGCCAACATCGAGCCTCGTTCACTCCACTCCGAAAATCGTTCCCTGGCTGGCTAGCCCCGCGGCCCGAGGAGTGCCCCTGGAGGCCGAAAGCGGCGAAAAAGGTCCTTGAGCCTCGTCGTCGCCGCCGTCGTCGCCGTCGCCGTCGCCGTCGCCGTCGCCGTTGCCGTCGCTGTTTCCGTCGCCGTCACCGAAGACTTCGCCGCCGCCCTGGGCCGATGGCATGGCCGGCGACGGCGACGGCGACGGCGACGGCGACGGCGACGGCAGCGGCGTCGGCGTCGGCGAAAGCGAAGGCAAAGGCGCCAGCGGCAACGGTGGCGATGCCGACGGCGGCGACGACGACGACGACGACGACGACGACGACGACGACGACAACGGCGGCGGCGGCGGTGGCGGCGGCGGCGGCGTCGGCGTCGGCGTCGGCGTCGCCGGCCATGCCATCGGCCCAGGGCGGCTGCGAATTCTTGGGCGACGGCGACGGAAACAGCAACGGCAACGGCGACGGCAACGGCGACGACGGCGACGGCGACGCGACGGCGACGGCGACGGCGACGGACGGCGACGGCGACGGCGGCGTCGGCGACGGCGACGGTGACGGCGACGGCGACGGCGACGGCGACGGCGACGCGACGGCGACGGCGACGGCGACGGCGACGCCGGCGGTGGCGGCGGCGGCGGCGACGGCGACGCGACGGCGACGGCGACGGCGACGGCGACGCCGGCGGTGGCGCGGCGGCGACGGCGACGACGACGGCGACGACGACGACGACGACGACGGCGGCGACGACGACGACGCGGCGGCGGCGGCGGCGGCGAAGGCGAAGGCGCCGGCGGCAACGGTGGCGACGCCGACGGCGGCGACGCCGACGACGACGACGACGACAACGGCGGCGGCGCGGCGTCGGCGACGGCAACGGCGACGGCGATAGCGACGGCGACGGCGACGGCACGGCGACGACGACAGGCACGGCGACGACGACGACAACGACGACGACGACGACGACGACGACGACGACGGCGGCGGCGACGACGACGACGACGACGGCGGCGGCGGCGCCGGCGGCGGCGACGGCGAAGGCGAAGGCGAAGGCGCCGGCGGCAACGGCGGCGACCCCGACGGCGGCGGCGGCGGCGGCGGCGGCGGCGGCGGCGACGACGACGACGACGACGACGACGACGACGACGACGACGACGACAGCGGCGGCGGCGGCGGTGGCGACGGCGGCGTCGGCGGCGGCTGCGTCGGCGACAGCGACGGCGACAGCGACGGCGACGGCGACGACACCACGACGACGACGACGATGACGACGAAGACGACGACCACGTTGACGGCGGCGGCGGCGGCGACGGCGACGGCGAAGGCGAAGGCGAAGGCGAAGGCGGCGACGGCGGTGGCGGCGAAAGCAGCAGCGACGACGACGACGACGACGTTGGCGGCGGCGAAGCCGTCACTTTGGCAGTCCCCGGGGGCGCCTGCCCAGCCCGAGGCAGGCCCCGCAGAGCTGGCGCGGGGGCCGCGCGGAGGGTCCCACCTCGCACGCCAGGAACGGCAGCGCCGCCAGGTCTGCCCCCGGCTCGTCTTCAGGAGGGGGCGCCAGCTGCCCATCTCTCTCCCGCGCGGCAGCAAGGACACGACTGGAAGGCTCTAGGCAACTCTCGGCCTTCAGGGGCCCTCAGCAAGCCCCATGGGCCATCGCAAAAGACAGTGGCCGGGGATGGTTGTTGCCGTTTGCAACATCCCTGGGAAAACCGACAGGGCGCCAGTTCCCCCCGCTCGTTTTCTTCAAAAGGGGGCGCCGGCTGCCCAGATCTCAGGAGGAAAAGGTATCGATATGTACCGCAGCCCTTCCCTCGTTTTTGCCCCCTTGGGCCTCCTGGTCTCCGTCGCCACGTGATCTCGTCCCCCGCTGGTGTTGCCAACTGTGCAACTGAAACCACGTTCGTTCGCTCCCAGGGGGACTGACGCGCTACGCAGATCCAGACGAAACCTCGCCATCCCTGGGTGCTACCAACCACGCAGATGTCGCCACATTCTTGCCCTGGTGCTGCCATTCTTGTGGACCACGCAGACACTTTTACGTCGCATCGCGGCAGAGTCAGTCCGCACGCGCGTTCAGCAGGCTGGGAGACGGCATTGCGAATTGTCCCGAATGCAAGAGAAGAGGAGAAGAAGAGGGGCGGCCGCGGGAGAGGGAAAAAAAGGGGAAGCGCGCTCACGCGGCGAGGCCGCAGCGGCGGCCAAGCTGGTGCAGCACCCCTGGCAGCGGGCGCGGGGCGGCATCACATCCACACCCAGGGATGGGCACAGCGGATGCAGTGCAGGGCCGAAGACCGACAAGTGAGAAAGTCCGAGGCCCAGAGTAGCAGAGCCGGCGGCGGGCCCCGGCAAACTGCGGGGGGGCCAGGTGGGACGTCTGCTGGGCGGGCTGCGATGGCAGGCTGCAGTGGCTGACCAGGGGCACATTGGTGGCCCGCCGGGGGGGCCACGCAGCGGTGGCGGAGGCGGGAGCGCGTCCGCAGCGCGAGCCGCGGCGATGGGCCCTGACTGAGGGAGGGGCGGGGACGGAGGCCGGACGTGGCCAGGACGACCGGTCGGGGCAGCCGCGGGACCTGGGCGGCCACGAGGGCGGCAGCGTGTGAGCCACGCGACAGGCCGCGGGCGGATGCGGGCGGGCAGGGCGGGGGGGGGAGCAGAGAGGCAGCCCAGTGCCAGGCCCAGGCCAGCGCACGCATCACAGCCGAGGGCGGGCGGCGCCCAGCCGAAGTGGGGCAGGGCGAAGGCTCCCGGCGCCGAGCCGCCCGGAGGCAAAAATGGGAGGGCCAGCGTCGCGGCGACGGCCCCCAAATCGAGGCAGGACCCAGCGCCACCCAGCGCGCCCCCCGCGCCAGCAGGCGCAGGGGCATGGCTGACGGGCCACGCCGGCCGGTGTGGCGGCGCATGCGCCAAGCGGAGCATGGGTGAGGCGGGCCCTAAGCAGAGCGCGAGGGAGGCGAGCGCGCCGCCAGGGATGGGTGGTACGCCCACAGCGGGAAGAGAGGCGCACCACCTGAAATGGACGTCGCGCCGCGTCCAGGGAATGACCAAGGGCACCTAACCGCTGCACAAGCAGGTTGAGCGAAAGGCCAGGGCAAGCGAGCCGCAGCAGGAGGGAGGCGCACCACCTGGCGTGGATGGCGCGACGAAGGCGGGGAAGGGCGCGCCACTTGGGTTGAATGGTGCGCCCACGGGAAAGCACCTGACCAGTGCACAAGCAGGTGGATGATGGCCTGAGGAAGGCTCGTAGCAGAAGAGAGGCGCGCCAGATGGGATGGAAGGCGCGCCCGAGAGGCGGGAGGGAGGCGTACCACCTAGGATGGATGGCGCGCCCGAGGGGCAGAACGGCGCACCACCTGGGATGGATGGCGCGCCCAGCGGGAAGCACCTACAAGCAGATGGAATGACGATGCGGGGCGCCTCCTGGGATGGAAGGCTCCGCGCCGTAGTCACAGCCCTAAACCGTGCCGGGTCCTGGGATTGCTCGCCCATGGCGGGCAGGCCAGGCGTCTAGCCAGAGCCCTCGCATGCGGGACCTGTCTCCGGCGGGCCACGAGGCCTCGCTGGGACGCTTGCAACCTTGGCCTTTCCCGCCGGCTGCTTGCGTCTGGCGGTCATGCTGCTGCTGCTGCTGCTGCTGCTGCCAGACATCGCCCCAGTCGACCTCCAGCTGGTTGCGATAGCGGCAGAAGGCGCGAATGTCATACTGGGTTTCGGCCACGTCCTCCATGAAAGCACGGCAGAAATCGTCGAAGCCCTGGGGTTTGTACCGTCCCTTGCCCCGACCCTTTCCATCCCTCTGATCACAGGCCCTGTCCCAGCCTTCCACGAAGAGGGCGCCGCAGGTGCCTATGAGGCGGTTGATGGTTTCTGGCCAAGTCTCGTCCCTGCTGACTCCCGCCTTCCATTGTGGCGTCCACTGGATGTCACGCCTGGGACTTTTGTACAAGCAATCGTATGGGTCGTTCCTCTCGCTCCGCTGAGAAGCGTCCCCACGCGTGCTGCGAGTCTCTCAGCCACGCGGACACAGGCGATGCGCAAATCCAAACGGAAGGTCGTCTTCTCTAGGTGCTGGCGATTGCGCACCTGTCGCCATTTTCGTGAGCTTCTGGCTGGCCCAACAAAATGGCCGGCTACACTTATCCAAACGAAGCCTCGTTCTCCCTGGGTGCTGTCATCCGTGCAGCTGTCGCCACATTCGTGATTTCCCTCTCCTGAATATGCCTGGGGGGCACAGCGACGGACACTCTACTCGGGTCTAAGACGTAACCTCTACCTCCATGGGTGTTGGCAGCTGCGCAAGTATAGGATCTGGATGGCGCCCCCCAGTGCTTCGCCGCCGCCCCGCGCCCCCAGCAGCAGTGTCTCCTGCAGCGTCCGGCGCCTGCGCCGCCTGCGCAGCGCCTCGCTGGACCGGCGCCGCCTGCGCCTCTCGTCGCCGTGGGTTGCCCCCGGTCGCCGCCGCCGCCGCGATCGCCGTCGGCGTCGTCGGCGTTGCTGGCGGCGTCGTCACCGCCGCCGGCGCCGCCGTCAGTCGCCGTCAGTCGCCGCTGCCACCGTCAGCGCCGTCGGCGCCGTCGACGAGGTCGCCGCTGGTGCCATCGGTCGCCGTCGGCGCCGTCGCCGCGGGCGTCGCCGCCGTCGTCTGCGCCTCTCGCCGTAGTCGTCGTCGGCGCCGCTCTCGGACGCGCCGCCCCCATCGGAGCCCTCCGCGGCAGAGGCGCGGGCACCGCCGCGGCCGTCCGCCTCCAGCTCGGCCAGGCGGTCGGAGCTGAGCTTCTGCGCCGCCTCGCGGGCCGCGAGCACACAGAGGGCCAGGAGCCTTCAGAGGCCCTGGTCTCCGACGCCTTGGAGAAATCAAGGCGGAGTCGTTTCACCGCCTTCTTCCGGGGCCTCAAGACCGTTTGGTGACGGACCGCGTGGTGACCTCGGAATCCCCAACGACCTCACCGCGCGGTTCGTCACCGCATGGTTTTGGCACCCTGGAGGGCCCTGGTCGCCTCAGACGTCCTCGGAAAACGACCCGAATCCTCAAACCGCGCGGTCACCTCGAATTACCACTGAATCACCACAGGGTGTGGTTGCCACACCGTCTGGGGGCCTCCAATTTTCGGCTTCAGGGGGCCGCCGCGGGGCCGTCCAAAAAAGCGGTTCAGGATGAAACGTCAGCCCTGGGGGGGGGCGTTCATGGAGGTTGCCAAAAGTCTCCAGAGGTCGCCGGACGTCTCCGGATCACCCGCCAACTGAAGCCTTACGGGGGCTCTGGAGGCCCCCCGCTCCCCGGCAGAGAAAAGAGGATCAGTAAGAGCCTCGATCCTCGCGCGCGCACGAACTGCAGGGCGCAGGGCTGCGCAGGGCTCTGCACGTCTTCGCGCGCGCGCGCGCTCGAGCTTGAGCGGATCCCAGAGAGCGGCGGTCATTGTCGGTACGGAGACCCTGCGGGGGCCGAGATCCTCTCGACGCCCGTCCGCATCGCGGCAGCCGCCGACGTCGTCATTGGCGCAGCCACCGCCGCCGTCGCCGTCGCCGTCGCCGTCGCCGTCGCCGTCGCCGCCGCCGCCGCCGCCGCAGCCGCCGCCGCCGCCGCCGCCGCCGCCGCCGTCGTCGCCGCCGCCGCCGCCGTCGTCGTCGTCGTCGTCGTCGTCGTCGTCGTCGTCGTCGTCGTCGTCGTCGTCGTCGTCGTCGTCGTCGTCGTCGTCGTCGTCGTCGTCGTCGTCGTCTTCACCGACGTCGTCGCCGCCGCTGCCGCCGCCGTCGCCGCCACCGTCGCTGCCACCGCCGCCGTCGCCGCCGCCGCCGTCGTCGTCGTCGTCGTCGTTGCCGTCGTCGTCTTCGTCGTCGTCGTCGTCGTCGTCGTCGTCGTCGTCGTCGTCGTCGTCGTCGTCGTCGTCGTCGTCGTCGTCGTCTGCGTCGTCTTCACCGACGTCGTCGCCGCCGCTGCCGCCGCCGTCGCCGCCACCGTCGCTGCCACCGCCGCCGTCGCCGCCGCCGCCGTCGTCGTCGTCGTCGTCGTTGCCGTCGTCGTCTTCGTCGTCGTCGTCGTCGTCGTCGTCGCAGCCGCTGCCGTCGTCGTTGGCTTCGTCTTCGTCAGTGCCGCCGACGACGGCCCCGCCTCCGCGCATGGCGCGCGCCCGCGAGCCCTGCCCGCAGGCGTTTGGCGCGCCAGTCGGCCAGACCTGCGCGCCGCCACCGCGCCACCGCTGGGGGGCGAGGCCGCCTCGGGAGGGGGGGAGAGGCGAAGTCCAGTTGAGCGACGAAAAAACATGATCTCACGCATGACGGCGACCTTACGCCGTGGCTGACGCGGGCCATCAGCGTGGCACGCCACATTGGAAACGAGGGTGCTTACACGCCAACGTCGGTGAAGACGACCCCGTTTTCTTCTGTCGCTCACGTTGCTCTGTGGGGAGGGGGGGGTCTCCTCGGCTCTCGGGCGTTTCCGCCAGTCACTCGGCGGTTTGCCAGCCTCGGGGTGCTCTCTAGCAGCTGCGCCTCGCCGAGAAGCGTCTGGAGGTGCCCGGATCGATCCGAACGGTCGACAGAGACTCGAGTTTCCTTGGCTCCAACTGGACTTGCTCCAGCTGGACTCAGCGACGCTCTAGAGAAGGCTACGTCCAGCTGGAGGCCCACCAGATGTAGCCCCTCGGCTCTGACTGGACCTGCTCTGGCTGGACTTCGCGTCGCCCGAGCCTGAGCGACGCCAGCGGCGCCAGCGTGCCGGCGGGACATCGCGCACGCAGGCGCCGGCGCGCGCGCGCCACCTGGGCCTTCAACGTCGTGCACAAACCCGTCACGGAGAGCTTCGTCTCCGCCTTCGGCCTCGATCAACGCGGATAGTAAGGATGAACGGCTTTCCATGCCGACCCTTGCATTCTTCCCCTTCGGCCCATTCTTGGCCACTTTCGCTGGCCGCGCCCCGCTCGAGTGTCGACATGGTCTTCCAAGGCATGCTTATAATACGCGTTGAACGGCGGTGACCCTCGCTGGGCCCCGGGGCCGTCAGAGCACGTCTCGGGGTGACAAGCCAGCCCCTGCAGGGAATTCCAGGGCCAGGTTTTCTAGAGCCCCCGCGCTGAGCAAAAGCAAATGCATCGAATCCCCGGGGAGCGCGCGCACTGGCGGGCACACGGGCTGGACGAAGCGGCTGCGGCCGCTTCGCTCCGCCGCCGCGTGCGCACGAGCGGGCCAGAATGGCTGCGGCGCAGGAGGGAGACATGAGCAGGCGAAAGGTCCATGGGGGTCCGAGGAGCCCCTGAGACGTGGGGCGAGAAGTACGTCCAGAGGGGATGGAAAGACCTCCAGGATGGAGGTACGGCAGGCTCGTGTCGTGACGACCTGGGCGCTGGTTTCTGGCACCACGTGGATCATTGAGCATTGAACGACCGGCCGCTTCTCGATCGCAAGATCGTTTCATATTGGCCACTTCTGGGCCACTGGCGGCCCTCAACCTTGAACGCCCACGGCGGGGCCGCCGCCGCGTCGTCACGGCACGAGCCTGCCCCAGGACCTCTGGTGATGGAGGCGTTTTGGCCAGCGCGTCGACTCTCACGCGGGCGCGGGGCACGGCGCATCCCTGAGGCCGGGGGCGGCCACCAGGAAGGCCAGCACGTGCGGACGCAGGTGCTCGCGCGGGTCCTCCCCGCGCGCGGCCCCGACGGGCCTGCATCTGAGAGGCAATGCGCGGCTGCGCCCCGACATGCGAATTTCGCGAACCCGAAATCGTGGTCCTGATGCTGGCCTCGACCGCAATTGTCGGTTGCACCATCTGGTGGTGCTCATGCACACTGCCCTCGGCCGTCCTCGCCCAAGCATCATAGGGCCCGCTGACGTGGTCGACGCGCGAAGCTCCTGCTTCGCGCGCGAAAGAGTCCCGAGCGACACCCCCGGTGCACGGGGCGGAGAGAAAGCGAACCTGGGCGCGATGCTTGAGCCACAGCGTTGGCGGATGAACAAAAAGGGGGAGGGAGAGAGAGAGAGAGAGAGGGGCCGCAGCAGCAGTGGCAGCCGTGCAAGAGGGGCTAGCCGAAGGGTCGCGGGACTGCATCTGCCGACCCTCGAGGGCCGCTGGCCCAGCGACGCCTGCCGCGGCCCTCGCGGGACTGGCGGGGGGGGGGGTCGGGGCTAGCAGGGGTTACTACAGGAGGGCCTCCAGCACTGCTAGCTCCAGGGCGCGCGCGCCCCCTGATGCAGAAGCACTGCTGCAGGCGCCGAAATTCCTTTCGCCAACCCAAAGTTCCTCCTCCTCCTCTTCATCCCAGACTCCCAATTCTAGATCGAACTCAGCTTCCAAGCCAAGAGCATAAATTGCATCTCGTTGACAATCCCCCTGGCCAGGTGCAGCGGGAACGCAGTCCTGGGAACTAAACCCTGGCTCATCAAGAACATCCCCGACACAAGAACGGCCTCCTCGACGCCTCTAGCCCATAGCGGCCTCCTGGGCCCCTCCGCGCTGCGCCATGGCTCTGGGAGACATGGGCCCAGAGGGGGAGAAGCAATGCGTCTGCGGCAGCTTAGCTGGCAAGTCCAGCGAGCGAGTGAGAAGCTGCGTGGTCGCACCTCTGAAGCGCACTAGCAGCCCTCAGTGCGTTTTCCACGGCGCGTCAATCAATGCTTCCATCGGCGGAAATTACATGGCGAAACTGACGCTCGCCAGGGCATAAATTATCTCCGAACCCCGCAGTGCAAGTGACCGAGACGTTCGGATCTTTCGAGGCATGGCCCTGGGCCTTTAAATTTGCAAAACCGCGGGAGTCCAAACCAGAAGCCGACGTGCCCCAGTCGGCGGAAAACTAACCGCGGCAACGGGAGACTGACCAGGAAAGCCCCGAGCCCGCGGAACCGCTGCGAGTTTCTCCCTGACCAGCCTTCGCTAGGTAATCAACGAACAAAAATGATGCCGGAGGAAAGCCCCAATCGACGTCACTTAAAGGCTATAGGGCTATGGGGCGATTGGGCGATGGTGCTATAGGGCTATGGAACTATAGGGCTAGAGGGCTATAGGGGCTATAGGGCTATAGGCTTGAAAGGGCTATAGGGCTATGGGGCTATGTGGCTATGGGGATATGGGGCTACAGGGCTGGGCTATGGGGCGATGGGGCTCTAGGGATATCGGGCTATAGGGCTATGGGGCTATAGGGTTCTAGGACCATAGGGCTATAGGGCTATAGGACTTTGGGATATGAGCTATATAAGGTTTAAGGCTATAAGATTATATGGCTATAGGACCATAGGGCTACAGGGCTAGAGGACTATCGGGCTATGGGGCTCTAGGGATATGGAGATATGGGGCTATAGGGCTATAAGGCTATGAGGTTATCGGAACGATATGGGCTATAGGGCTCTGGGACTATTGGGCTATAAGGCTATAGGGCTACTGGGCTATGGGGCTATAAGGCTATAGGGCTATATGGCTATAGGGCCATTGTGCTATATAGGGCAATAAGGGACCCGGGGACCCCGGCACCTGGGCACCCGGGCACCTCGGCGGGCCGCGGAAATCGGCGACACCTCACCTAGCCATATGAATCCGGTGGGGCTCCTACAGAGGCAAGCTCTGATTGGGGAACATATGGCAACCATCGAGAATCCGCGCATATCAATCACTGAGGCTTGCAGCCCGTCCCGTCGTGGCCGTCTGATTTCAGAGCCCGCCACAACTCCGCCAGGCTCCTGACACTGCGATGGCCCTGTGCTAGCAGCCACTCGCCTCCCCCGTTGGTCCTGCGAGCCTGGCGCGACGAGGCCGCGCCGCGCCCAGAGGGCCCGGCGGGGTTTGCGAGCAACCTCACTGTTGTCTCCCTGGCCTTGTCGCCCCACTCGGCAAGGCCGTCGGCGTCCATGTGGGCCTGGACGAGGCCCATGTGGTGGTGGGGCTGGGTGGAGACAAAATCCCAAGCCTGCCTGCCGATGCGCGTGACGCTGGCAAATAAGAAAACGCTGGCAATAAGAAACCCTTGCCCCCCGCGTACCAATCGACGGACTCGATGGGGACTGCGAGGGCGGCTCCCGCGATCGTTGCTGGCTCGAGCTGGCCGCCGCCGCAGCGGCAGCCGCCTGCGCCTGGGCCACCTGTACCTGATTGGCCGCGCGCCGCCGCCAGCTTGGCTGCACTGATGCGCTGGCTGCCTCCTTCGCGCGCTTCTCCTCGCCCCCGTCGGCGGCGGCTCCACGCGCGGCCCCCGTGGCATCTGCCTCGGGCGCGGTCGCCGCCGGCCATCCCCCTCCACAGGCCGCGCCAGGAGTGGGGCCGTCCTCAGGGGCGGCCGCTTGGGAGGCGCCGTCGCCGTCGGCGCGCCGCTTCTCGGCGAGCCTCTCGTCGATTTCCTGCCTCAGGTCTGCCATCCTCTGGTTCCAGGAGTGCTTGACCTGGAGAAGCGACTGGGCGCCTCGCATTTCCTATTCGAGCGCCTTCAGATTCTGGCGGTCTGACTCCTCGTTGTCCACCACCTCTGCCGACTCTAAAAAATCATCGTCGATCTTCACCTCGAAGAGGAACTCCTTCACAACCTCCCTCGACTTCTCCGTCTCGCTGAAGCCCCTCTCCGCTGCCGTGTCCTTGGCCGCCAGACGCCTGGCCGCCTCCGCCTTCGCGAGCACTGAGGCCGCCTCGCGCTCGCGCGCCTGCGCCTTGGCGAGGTTGTCCTATGCCTTGGCCACTGCGGCGACTGCCCGGTACTGGTCGAGCGTGGCGTCGCGCCAAGCGCCCGAGGCGTGCCTCAGCACCTCCTCCTGGCTCTGCTACGGCTTCACCTTGGCCTTGAGCCTTGAGCTTGTCGATCTCGTCGCCAATCAACTTCTTGCGCAGCAGGTCCTGCATGGCCACCATCGTCTGCTGCATGAGCGCGAGGCTGTCTGAACCTGGAGTGTCGCCGCCTCCGACGGCCACGCACTTGTTCTTCTGCCCCTTGCCGACATCCTTCAGCTCGTTGGACTGGGTGGTGTCCGAGTCGGTGGCCTTCTTCGGCTTGAATGGCTTCACTTGCCTGCCGCACTGACACTTCATGTCCCGCTCGATGAGGCGAGCGCTGTATTCACAGCGTCCGCAGGCTCTACACTTGCTCCATGCTTCTGCCGTAGCTGCCATTCTAGACTTTGCCAAGCCGATCTATCACCGAAGTTGCCAAGTCAGACTCGAGTGCGGCGGACGTCGACTTGCCCCTCAAACCCCCACGTGGCGCGGTCGAGGCTTGGGCACCTGCCAAAATGGCTTGGGCCCAAGTGGCTTGAGGGAGGAGGAGGAGGAGGAGGAGGAGGAGGAGGAGGAGGAGGAGCGGGTAGAGCGGGAGGAGGGGGAGGAGGATCGAGGACTGAGTAGGCGGATGATGATGATGATGATGATGATGATGATGATGATGATGATGATGATGATGATGATGATGATGATGATGATGATGATGATGATGATGATGATGATGATGATGATGATGATGATGATGAATGACAAGGACGGGGAGGGGGGGGATCGAAGAGGGAGTTGAGAAGGAGGGGGGAGGAAGGGGAGAGGGAGGATCGATAAGAGAGGGGCATCGAAGATCCAGGAGGGTCGGGGGTGGAGGGTCACATCGGCCATCGAGGAGGGGATCGAGGATCGAGCAGGAGGGTCGGGGCTGGGGGTCGAGGATCGCGGAGGGAGGATCGAGTGTCGAAGAGCTTCTCGATCCTCGAACCTCGACCGTCGATCCCCGAGCACACGACCGTCCTTGGTAGAGGATCGATGATCGAGGATGAGGATCGAGGAGGGGGGAGGATCCAGGAGGAGGATTAAGGATCGGGTGGACGGAAGGGGGGGGTGGCCAAGGAAGGGTAGCACAAACAACTATGGTCGTAAGGTGTTCAAGGCCGGCGCAAGAAATCTGTGCGGACCGTCGAGAGCTGAGGCGTTGATGCATCTTGGTCTTCGGGAATTGCAAGTCCGCTACACATAGCTGGCTTTCCTGGCGCCAAAGGCGACCATACATAAAGGAAAAAGCCTGACGGCGGGGCCGACACCAGCTGCGTGCATCAATTTTCGCAATCGCCCCTTTCCCCCCCAGCTTGCTTTCGCCCGCCACGAGAGGGTCGAGGAGGATCGAGGATCAAGAAGGATCGAGGAGAATCGAGGATCGAGGAGGAGGATTGAGGATTGAGGGCCGAGGAGGAAAGAGCATCGAGGAGGAGGATCGAGGATCGGTCGAGGATGACCGCCTGCGAATCCTGGTCAGAACGGGCTCCAGGACAGGCCAGGGGTCAATAAGAGGTCACTGAAAGCTATCTTGTGACGCCTTTGGACTTGAACGGCCAATCGGAGCACGAAAACGCGAAAGTTCGCCGGCCCAACGGGTCAGAGGCGTGCTAAATCCTCTGCTAAGAGCTCCCGAAAATTTCTAGCTCGCGCGCGAGAGGCCCCCTAGACGCCCCCGAAAGGCTCAAGAGACCCCCAAGGGGCACATCAGAGCTCCCCCATGCAGACCACCAAAGGCATCCTAAACTGACCTAAAAGGCTCCCGAGAAGCTCTGAAGAGGCCCCAGGGAAGCTACAATATGCGAACTAAAGTCAACCTCCTTCACGATGCGCTGCTGCGCTGGAGCGGTGGTGGAGTGTGCCGCAGGCAGCTGGATTCTGGAGGTGGAACCTCGATTGTCTACGAAAGAGACATACAGAATGGAGGAGCAACAATTCAGAAAGGAGGTCGAACCTTCATTCTGGCTGTTCTGGATACTCTGGGGCGAAGCATCTTATCACACAAGGGCACATGCAGCCCAGTATAACTGGCAGCCCGCTAGCGATACACTCATAGCTAGCTGATGGTGCCGCGCTCGATACAAAACGCAAGGTGATGTAGTGAGGAGGCAGATCAGGGTCGAGTAAAACTATTTGAGACTTGAGGAAGAGTGAACCACGTTTATCCGAGGGGAAGAGTGGCAGCAGAAGGGAGGATCAATCAGCACCGGATCGGGACATCGGATCGAATCGGGATGTCTGTCGGATCGGGCAGGATCGGCACGGAGTCGAAATCGAATCGGATCGGCTTTGCCAGGATGCACAGTAACGCCATGCGAGTATCAGGCCGCATTGGATCGTCGGAATATCGGTATCGAGTCGGATCGAGCCAGCAAGAGCTGGCATCGAACTGGACAGTAGGGGTACGCGAAAGTCTCGGGCCCCTCCCCCAGGGGGCCACAAACCTGGCCGACCCTGGCCGACACCAACTCGTCCCCCAGCAGACGCCAGCTCAAAGCACCCCAGACCCGATGGAGCCTGGTCGGCGTGCCTGGCAGCGCGAACGCGTGGCCCGCTTCAGAAGTGCTGCACCCAAACATGCTGCCATCCCTTGGGGACTGCAGCTGATCGATCCCTCGAAGACAAAGCCATTTCTGGAAGGCGTCATGTAGTAGCAGCGGTAGTCGCAACAATTAGGTTGTGTTCATGAGGTTGCAGGGGTGGGTGCCAGCTGTTAGACCGCGGAGGCAACGTGCAGTGGAGGGTAGCAGCACTAGATTTGTAGTCAGCATAGAACAAGACATCTGCTTGTGAATACAAAAGCCACGCAACGATAGTAGGCCGTTATCAGAATCAGTTTTACGTTTGGGAAGCGCCGGATACTGATAGAGCGATTTGTCAGGAAACAAAGGAGGTGGACAAGGGAGGAAAGCACGGAGTGAGTCGTGGGTCCGCGCAAGTGGTGCCAGAAGTGCCTCACGAGCCAAACTTTGCGAGCCTCTCGTACGTGCCCGCACTGCTGCTTTCTACGGTACATCATCAATTTCGCGGGATGCCCAGAATAAATGTCATTTGTCATTCGGAGGCAGCCCAGTCTGGCACCACCCCTGTCGCTCGCGCCGCTGGTATTTTTCCTCACCTCGCCCGGCACAGCCAAACCAAGTACAGTTCTCGAAGCGGGACCATGCCACCAACTTCCGGACGCCGTATTTCTCCGCTCCCGGCTCGATGATGCCGTAC